CCCACTAACTCTTTTAACTTAATTTAATCTGTTTCTGTTCATCTATGCTTTGCCTCAGAGCTTTTTACCTTTCCTTCATTTTGTATGTCCTACTTTGCTGCTTCCTCTGTGTCTGTGTGACTAGTCCCTGGCATTTCCCTGTTTTTTTTCTTTCTCCTTTTCTTTCTTCTCGAGCCTAAATCCCTTTTCCTACTTAATTTCCCTGCCTGGAAGTTCCACCTTTCCTCCTCCCTCGTTATTGGCTGTTCAGCTTTTTATTAGACCAATCAGGTGCCTTACACAGGCAAGGTAAAATAACAACACATCTTTACATAGTTAAACAGATGCAACACATGTTTCCAGAGTTAAAGAAATGCAGCACAGCTTTGCAGAGTTAAGCAAATATTACAAGACATGACATCATGAGAGGAAAGGAGACACTACAGGTGAAGACTGGCTTCACTGCCCTGGAGGTCACTGACTGAAGGAGTCATGGAGAAGAGCTGAGACTTGACATCATATGGTAGGGTCTCCTGAAAAAGGCTTGGAGGCCATTGTTGAAGGTACAGACTGTGGAGAGCCCAGGATATTGGGGATGCCAGGACTATGGGATGGCTTCCAAGGACAGCAACAGCTGTGGAGGTGGCCTGAGCCTATAAAATGAGCTAAGTGGGGCTGGAGAGATGGCTCAGTGGTAAAGAACACTGACTGCTCTTTCAGGGGTCCTGAGTTCAATTCCCAGCAACCACATGGTGACTCACAACCACCTGTAGTGAGGTTTGATGTCCTCTTCTGGTGTGCAGGCATACATGCAGGCAGAACACTGTATACATAGTAAATAATAAGTCTTTTAAAAATGAGCTAATTTTAAAAATGAATGTTCTGGGAATAGAGAATGTGCTGGAGGGATGCCGAAGAGTACATCCAGGGAGTGAATTCAAGGATCAAGCCCAGGTCCTTCAGGGACTAATGCACCCTTCATGGTCAGGTAACTTCTTGCCTCTTTATTTTTGTCAGTGGTATCATGGGAATCACAGTTCATATTCATGAGTCAGAGTCCTAGGAGGAAACAAATTGCACACTCAAATTGAGTGATTTGAAAAGCATTGAAGGCATAGGACTGTTTGCAAAGGTTTAGTGAGGGTAAGGAAGCTGTGCGCTCTCTCTCTCTCTCTCTCTCTCTCTCTCTCTCTCTCTCTCTCTCTCTCTCTGTATTTTGTCAATTTGCAAAAGCCTGGATCATCTGGGAAAAGGGAATCTCAACTAAGAAAATGTCTTCATCAGATTGGCCAATAGGTAAGCCTATGAAGCATTTTCTGGATTAGTGATTAATGTGGGAGGGCCCAGTTCATTGCTCCTCTAGGATGTGTAAGAAATAAAGAGGGCTGGAGAGATGGCTCAGTCATGAAAGGCTAGGCTCACAACCAAAAAAAAAAAAAAAGAAATCAGGAGCAAGGCGAGCAAGGCATAAACAAGCAAGTTGGTAAGCAATGTCCTTCCATGGCCTCTGCTTCAGTTCCTGCCTCCAGGTTCCTGCCTGAGTTCCTGCCCTGACTTTCCTCCATGATAGGGCATAAGATGGAAAGTGAAATGAACATTTTTCCCCCAAGTTACTTTTGGTCATGGCATTTCATCATAGCAATAGAAAGCAAACTAAAATAGAGGCTATGTCTATTCCTGGGCTAGCAAAAGTGGGGGAGTCATTTCTGGGAATAAGTGGGAAGAGGGAATACCATCTGCCAAGCTGAAGACTGCTGTGTGAAAAGGACCACTAATCAAAGTTCTGGCTTTCTGTTTCAGGAGTAGAGGACACCAGTGGGAGAGCCAGACGACCATACCCCTCCCCATTTCTCCCTCCCCACCTCTTCTGCTGTCCTGGGGCTGACTCCAGTGGAGAGCAAGAAGCAAGGGCACTGTGGTTGCTTTCCACAAAGTGCATTGTGGACTTGGGGTTGGGTAGGCAAATGGAAAGAATCTAAGGAATCCTGCAGAATCCTTTTGCAGCCTTTGTGAGAATTAGATGGACACTTAAGTATAATGTGATTAGCAGAATGAGTGCCCAGAAACACAGGGCTAGTGTTGTTATCCATATCTTGTACATTTCCTTATTGATTGGCAACTAAAACCTTTGCGTCAAAGTAGTTGACTGCAGCAGATAAGGTCACTGTGGTATATACCACCAACTAAAGGAAGACAGAAGCCGCTAGTGTAAGGTGTATGGGCCTCTTGGAGGAGAGAGACAGAGACAGAGACACAGAGGGAGAGAGAGACAGACAGAGAGACACAGAAGGGAGAGAGAGAGAAAGAGAGACAGAGAAAGACAGAGACACAGAGGGAGAGAGATAGAGAGAGACAGGGAGAGGAAGAAATAGAAAGAGAGAGAGAGAGGGAGAGAGAGAGAAGGAGAGAGGGGCATTAAAGGCAGCTGTCTGCCTGAAGAGGATTTCAAAGTGAGGTAAGGATGGGGAGAAACCCTTTATTTTCTCTTTTCCTTCCTAAGGCTGCTTTCAAGTCATGTACATTTGTTATTTTATAGTTACTGGTGAAAATGTCAGATAAGTGCTATCTGGGAGGTGGATTCATGGGGTGTGGCTTTTTTTATTTTTTGAAAATTTTAAAGTATTTATTCATTTAAGAGTAAAACAAATTGAGGAAATAATACAATAAGTGACAAAGTTGGCCCCAAATTATTTTGTTAAGAATGTGAAAACCTGAAGTTTGCCTCATTATTTAATAGTGAAATGTTAGTCTTGGCCTCACACACTCCCTTGTGTGTGTGTGTGTGTGTGTGTGTGTGTGTGTGTGTGTGTGTGTGTGTGTACACATGGGTTCACATGCCACAGCATTCATGCCAAGGACAACTGTTGGAATCAGTTCTTGTTCTGCCTGTGGCATCAGCCTTGACAACATGTGAGGCATCGAGGTATCTTGCTGGTCCTCTATCTTCTTCTAGGTTCTAACTTGGAAACAATGACTTCCACGAGCCTATCACAGTAAGAAGGACCCTTCATCCACAAAGACAATCCCTATTGCTGTAGATCATATAAATGTTAGTATATGCTTTAATTCCAATGTTGATATCAAAATTTATACAGAGATGGGGAGAGAAATAAAGATGTACAATTTCTTCCCTGTGATTTTACGAATGTGCTCATCAGGTTTTATGGATGTGTGTAGATACATGTATTTTTTTTTTTCTACATGACACAGATCTACTATAAAGGCTGACAATTCTGACATCACCCCGCTTAGATTGTAACACTGGCTTCACATTTACCAGCTAGTAAGTGTCAACTAGTTCCTTGGTTCCTCCAAACCTTGGGCTTTCTTACTTCTAGAATGGCAAATGCCACTCCTTTCACAGAACTTGGAGGACTAAAGGACAGGAGCATGGCTGTGTTAGAACGATTGGCCCACATGTGGGAGCAGGTCTTTATTGTTCGAGTCTAAAGCAGCTCTGTCCAGAGAAGAAGACTGTTTCCAACCCAGTTACTTCTAACTCATCTCCTGAGAATGGCCTCTGACTGAGAAAGGGTGGGTGGGTGGGTGGCAGTGTGTATCTCTGGGCTGTAGACCTGTAGAATGTGTGTCACTTGGGGTTGAACTGCCCTGCTAACCTCAGTCTTCTTGCTTAGATCTGCGGGAACATGATGCCCAAAGGGGATCTCACAGATAAAAGAGCTGTAGAAGGATGTTAACCCATTCTCCTCCCGGTGCGTCCCTTGCCACAGTGCTTGCTTGGGGAACAGTGGTAAGGAACGGGAGCATCATCCAGCAAGTGGAAAAACCAAAGCAGGTCATCTGACTTACACACACACACACACACACACACACACACACACACACACACACACACAGAGAGAGAGAGAGAGAGAGAGAGAGAGAGAGATGCACCGGCTTCTCTTTGAGGAAACAGTTCTTCAATGCAGAGATACCACCAATTCTTTTCAACTGAAGTCGCTGCCCCATCACTCTCTTTAAGCTTTTCCGTCCAAAAGACCAGACAACTGTAGTGTTCTCTGAACTGGGAACCAAGCCCCACCACCCAGAAAGGAGCTTGTATTACTATGATCCCCATTAGAAATGAGGTGCCATCTGAACCAATGGCATCATTGTACTCATCAAAGAGACTTTGGAGGACTAAGGACCATCCCTGGGCAGCAGCTTACATTGGATAACTGAAAACACATATCCTTACCTTCAACAGTCTGGCGTGGTTTTCTGGGTGGGTGTCAAGGAATTTGTAATCATTGGAGCTGTCTGAAAGAAAGGAGGAAGTTTCCTATCCTTGTAAGTGTTGGATTGGAACTGGCAAACCATCTGCACAGATATTACAGAGAAGTCAGGTGACCTCAAAGCTCATTCCATGCAGGAGAACTCTGCAGAGCAAGGGGAGTGCCATTAGAATTCTCACATTAAAAATCACTTCCAGGGCTGGAGATACAACTCAGTGGTGGAGTGTTTGCCTGGCATATGCAAAGCCCTGAGTTCAATCCTGAGCACCAAGGAGACATTTAAAAGGGAGCAGGCACAAATTCAGGCAAGAGGATTGTCATGAGTTTGAGGCCAGTATGAGCTACACAGTGAGACTTTGTCTTAAAAATCAAAACTAAATAACCACCCTATAAGAATTGTTTCTCTATAGAAAGAAGCCAATATGGTATACCGCACAAAACCCCAACTTTGGAATTAGGACACAGGCCATGCTTATCAGTCAACAGAGTGGCTTTCCAACTTCTCTATTCTTCTCATCCCCATCCCCTTGATGTCATGAGAGGGTGAGTCAGAATGTTTCTAAGCTGCCTTTGTTGAGAGTTTATAGTGGGTCAGGAGATAATGTTCCATCATGGGTATACAGATGAACACAGGGCATACCCACAGTGAAGGAATAAAACCCACAGACTTCCAGGGCCCTGCACTGTTCACTATATTTCTAGATAAAAGAAGCTCATGCTGGGGGGTTAATCAGTGTTGAAAACGTATTCTTCAGTACTGTTCAATGAGCTCACAGAGGCCTGAACTCTTAGACCAGCTACCACTTACATATTGTCAACTTGCGTTTATGACCAGAATACAGAAAGGAGGCTTGTTGTACATTCTCAGGAGCCTGACTCCTGAAGAGGCTAGGAAGATGCTGCTGCTTCTAACCACATTGTTTCCATAGCAACTACAACCTGGTGGCAGGGACAGGAATCTATTTTCTCATAGATCCAGAAGGTAGAGATTGAATTATTAGCTGGATAGTTCCTTCCTAGGGTCAAGAGGGGAGAATCTACCATGGCTGTTGTCTTTACCTTGTAGACGGCCCCGAGCTTTAGAAGTCTCTTTGACTCTCATCCCTCTTTGCATATCCGACCCATTGTGAGTTTACCTGTCATATTAGAGAGTTAGGGCTCCCCCAGTGACCTCACTGAAGCCAGTTATCTCTATAAACACTGTTTTCAAATAAGGTAATATGCTGAAGTACTAGGGGTGAGACTATCAGCACATGAAATGTGGGGTGATATAATTCAACCACACATCTATCCTTTCTACCCTACCCAGTCCATTGAGCATGTCCCCCTTGGCAAGATGGGTAATTGGCAGTGTGTCATGACAACAGCTGTCCTCTCCTTTAGATGCTTCCCCCCATTTGGCTTCTTTACCCCTCCCCCCAATTTAAACTAGCATTTGGTTTTTACATAAATGTTTCCTTGGATGTTGTGGGTGGTGTATTTATGTATGGCAGAAAGCTAGGCAAGGACATGAACACACACATACACATACAACATGTGTGTAGGGGAGAGCTTTTCTTATGTTTCTCTTTTCAGAGCTTCTGTTCACTGCAGTACAGTATTTAATTTGTGGGTTCTTGTCATGTCTCCAGTTTCTACAGAAATAATTAATCTTATATTCTTGCCTCAGGGTTTCCCTGAAGGAAACATGCACAACACAACAAAGTTGTTGCTTAGTGTAAAGGCCGTCTCATCTTGGAAACGACCCTACCAGACATTTACATTGGCCTGGGTCCACACACCCATCCACGACAGCGGTCATCTCCATCCTGGACTCAAATGACCCGCTTTGCAACTGAGCTCATCCTGTTGCCCCAGGAATGGTGACAAGGAAGGGCCCTGAGGGAATGTCTTCTGATGTCCCCAAAGGCTGGAGCTCCTGGGCTTGGTCACGCTCATGATGGAGACAGTCTGGTCGGTGTCCAACAGTTCAGATGATCACCAAGGTATGATTCCCAAGTCCATTCTCCAGGGTACATTTGATTTCCTTTTTAGGTTAACTGTTAAAAGTAATAGACGATTTTCTGAACTTTGAGATGAGCCAAGTATTTAAACTGACTAGAAATAAGTGTCTCAAGCCTATATCTCCTCAAGAAGTTTCGACAACTTCATGTAGCGAAGCTTTCATGGCTCTCATCAGGGGAACAGATACGGGCCATTTTGAAGCCTTTGGAGTTCACACAGAGGGCAGAGAAGCCAAATGTTCTCAGTGACTCAGTGGATGGAGTTGCATGCTCTAACGCCTGTCTCCTGGCTTCCTGGGGGAAGGCTTCTTCCCGCAGACCCATTGTCTGCACCTGATATCGCTCTCCAAAGCTGTTCACTAATGTCCCAAAGACAGCCATGAGCCACAAGGGATCTCCATTGTCCCCTTCTCAGTATTGCTAACCATGAACATTGTGCCACCCCGAGTTCCAGTGTAGGGGAAAGACCTACGACCCTACCATCACACCAAGCTGCCACTCTATTATCAAACAAGGCAGCCTCAGTGCAAAAGAACATGCTTTGCCTTTCACCAAAAAACAAGCAAGCAAATAAATAAATATGAGATAACCAAATTGAAAGAAAAAAAATGTTAGGAAAACCCAGAGTAAGGAAAGATGGCTTCGTGTCTCATGGCTATTGCTACAGTTCCAGAAAACAGGAGTTTGGTTCCTAGCACCCATGCCAGGCAGTTCACAGCTGCCTGTGACTCTAGTGTCAGGAGCTCTAATGTCTTCTTCTGGTCTCTGTGTGCACTAGCACACACTTACACAAATGCACACACAGATACGTACACACAAATAAAAATAAATAAAAATCGTTTTTTAAAAAAAATCCAGGACTCTCCATCCTTTGAAAATCTTTGAACATGTGGCAGTAAATGGACCACATTGTCCACCAACCTCAAAGAACTAAGTTATAATAGGCAATAGATAATCTGGGGTATATAGTACACAGCAGGCCTTGTGCCAAGTGCTGGTCTGTCTTCTCATTGAATCTTGCTGAAACTCGTTAAGAATAACTTCTAGTGGTGATGAGAATGAAGTGAGTGGCTACACATAGGCATGCTTAGATGTTCTAATGTTATAAAGATGGGTACATTCAATACATGATATAATTTTGTTAAATGATCCCTGGCATTCCTTTATGCCTAGGCTGTACACAGTGAAATAACAGGTTCCTAACATGATATGTGATCCAGCCCTTTCACATACCTCAAAACACTACCCAGAGGAGTGACATCAGCCTTGTTAAGAGAGCCGTAGAAATGCTGAGCAACTTTCTTGGGGAACCACAGTTGCATGGATTCTTCCCTCAGCACCAAGGGGATGCTCAGGTCAAATAGATTGGTGGCTAACCAAAACACAGGGCTGACAAAGAATCCATTGCCTTTCATGCCGTGGTTAGTGGCTTCGACACGAATCATGTGTTTGCAAGGGCTGGACTCTGCTGGTTTCAGCTGTCACATCAGTAGAGTGCGGATGCTACCGTGCATGTTTATATGAATGAACTGAGTGAGCCAATGCATTTAAAAACACCTCTCAAAGTGCTGACATATAGGAAGTGATAAAAAACAGTAATTAAACACCCACTGTTTCAGCTTGCTTGGGAAATACAGAGCAGTGTGGGGCTCAGTCCAGGTGACACATTCTATAAAATGCATGATGTTTGAAAGGAAGAGCCTAGAGGCGTAGGGACTGGCAGAGTAGAAATGCCCTGTGGGTGAGATCCCTGTCTGTTCTTCCTCACCAATGCCACCCACCCTTGTCACTGAATCACTTACTCCATGTTGGTGAGGAGTTTACTGGAGTGTGAATAGATGTGCAAGAGTTTGTGTGGGGACACTGTATTCTTTTTTTTTTCTTTGTAAATTATCACAAAGACTTTTTAACCCAGAGAACCCAGAACAAAAGCCAATGAACGTTACGTTAGGTATCAGGGTGAACAACCCAAGTAAATAGCATGGGAGGAACAGTTGTGCTGATGAAGTGGTCTGTGCATCAGGCAGATCTCTGGACTTGCAGCACATTTCTGAACTTATCTCATCTACACCTTAAGGGCTAGATAGGATGGTAATGTAGCACACTGGACCAGTGAATAATATGTACTCCATTCAATGACTATATTTTTGTTTTCTGTATCGTGTCAATTATGTTTAAATTATTCTTTGCAAATGGTGTTTGTTTCTGTTCACCACCCTAAATGAACTCATCACTAGTGGTGAGGTAAACCGAGGCTTCTAGGCTAGGCTCTAGAAGCAGGGACTGATGAGTGATTCAAACCGGCCGAGGTGTTCCTGGCCCCGGCCTCCAGCTCTGTGTCCTGGTTTCTACTGACACTGACCCAATCACGCAGCCATTGTTTGCTCTTCACAGTCTGATGGGCTTGGATGACGTCACCTCCCAGAGGATGACCGCTGCACAGTCATACCTGTTCCCAAGGGAGCATTTAACTGTCTGCATTCAGAAGCTGACGTGAGGGCAAAGGGCTGGAAGGGCATGGGCTGAATCACATGGCAACCGTCAACTGAAGAATCCTTTCCAAAGGCTGGCCGATGACTTCTGAAATGGACAGCATGTCTAGCACTAGGTCCTGAGTGGTAGCGGAAGCATCTCTGATCAAAGAAAACCTTGGCTCTTTTCTGGGGGCTGACTGACCTGCACCAGGTCTGTGTGAGGCCTGGCAATGGCGAGACAAAGACAGCACAGGAAGATGTGGAGCTTGTTCGATGGGGACTGCGGATGCCGTTAGTCTTCTTGTGGCTACAGCTTATCTAAGACCACAGATGAGTTGTGGCCCAAGTCTCCTTGGTTATCAGTTGTTCCCATTCAAGCTGGGTGACTGCAAGATGGCAAGTCTGGCCCACAGTGAATGACGCCACATCCGAAGGCCTGGTTCTGCTCTAGAGCAGGGAAAAAAAACTCACCACATACAGAAGGGAAGTCACATTAGCAGTAGCCCAGGGACAGGCTAAACTATGCAAGCCTTCCCAGTACTCTGACTGTTCTTAGAAAGCACCGTCCATCTATCTTCTCCTTCTCCCCCACCCCGGTGCTCAGTGTGAAGACTTGAAAGGCTTGGAGTTGATAGGTCACGCTAGTCAAGTAGCAGAGTGTTATAAAAGCCCAGCCCCTTTCCTCCCAAAGCAGAGAGCAGCAGAAAGCTAGGGCTACCTGACTTCAGCTCTTCACAGTAGCCTCTGCCACACTGCGCCCTGCCCAGTATGGAGCAGGGTGTTGGTCTTCTTCACTTTGTACACTCAAGTGTTCATTATGCTACAAGTCTGTTGTTTGACTGGGCCAGATACAGCTTTGCACCTCAAACAACATTCTGCTGTCAGCAGAGACCCTCTCCTTCGGGGTTGTTCGCCCTGACTTGGAATTATTCTATGGGTAAATAATCTGCTCTGTGTAACTGGTGCTGTTGTCTCCCCAAATATTTTCTTTTTAAGGATTTTGGTGGGGGAGTCACTGTATTGAGGACTTAGTGTCAGGCCCCCTGAAATTGTCTTTGCTCAAAAGTGATCTGTGACTCTTTTTTTTTTTCTTCTTCCAGAAATCTCAACCTTCAGATATTATTTTCTGCAGGGGAAGGCTTTGTTCCCTGGCAACATACTGGAGAAATCTCTGCAGGGAAGGAAGCCAGTCAACACACATCTCTTGGTTACACGTTAATGGGGACAAGGAACAGCTTTTACAGAAAATTGATTTGGCCAGGAAAGAGACGAAGACCATGTGACCAGGTCGGCAGGAAGGGATGGGAGGGCTAGGAATGGGCTCCCTTCAGAGGCCAGGAGTGGAGGAAACGACTATTTGGTAACCATGAAGAAAAGTTCTTTTCATACTTTTGAAAAATATCTGCCTTTATTATGAACATCTGGGAAACCTGATGTGCAGCGTGTCCTTCTTAGTTCGTCTTCGGAGGGCAAAAAATACAACCCTTAGAAACTGTAAGATAAGCATGTCAGAGGTTTTTATACTGCTCAGTAGTTAATTAAGCCAGCAAGATGATACAATCAGTCTGAGGGAGACAGCAAAGAGCCGCACGTGAATGCTATGTGCCCATGAAGAAGTCAGGATCATTTGTGGGTTTAAAATAGTGGAGATGATGGAAGCAGAGTTGAGCGGTGACTGCTGGTGGCTGAGGATGGGAGAGAGAGTTAACCCATGGCCATTAAGTTACACAGAGCCCAATGACTGAATTCTAAAGGTCTGCTTTTCATCATGGTGCCTCCAGCCAATAAAATAACCACACTGCACTTGGGAAGTTATGATCTTATCCTGGGTGGTTTTATTTTATTTTACCACAATTAAATACAAAAACAAAATAACAGAAATGCCCTGGCCTCCAGGAAGTCCATCTGGAAATACCAGCTTTGGCTCTAGTTCAGTTTTCTCTAGTCCCTGGTCCAGTATCCATAGTAACCCCTGGGTATCTTCATCATTTCCTTTATCATATTTATAACTTCATTTAAGTATCTGAATTTACAGCTAATGTATAATCTAGCTGTTGTAGAACATTATTTTATGGTGTGTTACTTTTGTTTATGTAGCATTTGTTTAACTCTGTGAAGCTGTGCTGTGCCTGTCTAAAACACCTGATGGTCTAATAAAGAACTGAATGGCGACTAGCAAGGCAGGAGAAAGGATAGGTGGGGCTGGCAGGCAGAGAGAATATATAAAAGGAGAAATCTGGAAGGAAAAAAGAAGTAGCCAGAGAAGGAGGAGGACCCAGGGGCCAGCCACCCAGCTACACGGCAAGCCATGGACTAAGAGACAAAGGAAAATATTTAGGAATAGAAAAGGAAAAGCTCAGAAGCAAAAGGTAGATGGGATAATTTAAGGAAAGCTGGCTAGAAACTAGTCAAGCTAAGGGCAGGCATTTATAAGTAAGCATAAGCCTCCTCGCGTGATTTATTTGGGAGCTGGGTGGCAGGGCCCCCCAAAAGAGCAAAACCAAACAACAACATCCAGCCATTGCAGTTCCGGCCTCTTTCAGGCATGGGATCCAACACGTTACATTTTGCGTTATACATTGGCTTCAATGTAACATGTTCCATTACAACACTTACATTTTCCCTAAGTGCTGTGTGATGCTAGGTAATCTTTGTAAAGCATCCTCTTTACCAACTGTTCCGAGTCATCTTCACCACCACAATATTCAGGTTTTTGAAAGCACCAACAACTTGATTCTGTTGTAGTTAACTGTGGGGAATAGTCACACAGGCTTTGACAGGGGCATGCTGGTTTTTAGGAAGAGGATAGACTTGGAGATTAGAGATGGCTTCCGGTGCTTTCTTCCTCTACACCCCTGTCCGGTGTCACTTCGGGAAACCCACAGCCCAGTTTCTTGTTCCCCAAATAAGGATGATATTAGCTTTGATTTACATCTCCAAAGCCCTTTACAAAGAAAGCCAAGAGAGCAACTGTCAAGTGAATTTAAAGGTCTGCCTAAACCCTCAACCCAGCACACACAAGGTGTTTCATAAAAGCTCTTGTGAGCATATTTCAGAAATCTAAGCCAGGAAAGGGATCTTTAGTGGGCCCCATCCAACCTGACCCTTCAGCTTGCAAATACCCCTGTCCTTTGTCCTGGCAGGCCTCCCCATTTTTGTTTGTTTACAGTGACAATGTGACTGGCTGGCGCCTGGAGACAGGGCAGGGTAGGGAAACTGGAATCTACAAGACTCCTTACCCTCCTACCCCTTAAGAGCTTTGTCCTCCAGCTCCCCACTCAGGGGCCCCAGGATCAGATTGCTCACTCCCAGGTGCCAGAGAGACCCTTGTCTCTTTGCTGTCCTACCCAGATTGCCTTCAATGTCCTTTCCCCAGATGGGGGTGACAGCTGACAGAAGCTGCTCTGAAATGGATCTCTCTCCTTCCTCTCCTCCCTCCCTTCCCTCTGCCCCCTCAAACTGTAAGAACACTTTGGCGTCTTTCCATCACTTGCAGTTTGTGTTAGAGATTCGAATCTGTTCTTGTTCTCTGTAAATAGCTCAGACCTTAGGGCAGGGGAGCAATCTGAAAGGAAACCCGAAGATGGGGATGTGAGCAGATATATGAGCTGGTTGCTCGGGTATGAACACACTTGCTTTCCCCTGACCCACATAGCCTGTGGCTCCCAGGGTTTGCATCCCAAGCCAGGCCTCCCTGTTCCTGCTTTTCCCTCTCCCTTCTGCAATCATGCATTACTCTCATTAAGCACCTTTCATGACCCAGACTGCCAGCCAAGAACTGCTGTCCTCTTATTGCCTACCTGTCTAGCCTCTGACCTTTTCCTGGCTTGCATTCTTTCTTTGTCAAGAGAGCACCCCCTGCTCTTGAAGATGGTAGAACTTCCACATGACTGGGGACATTTTATTTTCTTCAAGCTGAGAGAAACCCATCTCAAACTGATTAATGCCTAGACAGAAAGGCTGTGATCTATGTAGCTGAGAAGTCCAGGGGTGTAGATGAATGCAGAAGTTCAAAGGCCCAGGCTACCTGCTGCTCAGATTGCGATGTTCAGCAAATGAAAATACAGGGCACCCAGTTACACTCCAATTTCAGACAAACTTCTTTTCTTAAAACAATTTTAAAAAGGTGTAGATTTGCAGGTCTCACACCACTTCCTATATTTATATTTTATGTGATTACGGCCTCCCACATGTCATTTCCCTCAGCTTTTGTTGTTATTGCTCACAGGCAGGCTCAGGGCGTGAGGTAATCGAATGAGTCTTAACCACCCCAGACTCGAATTTCAAAATTCAGAAACTGTGCAAGAAGAGCCCTTCTTTCACACGAGAGTAGCAAAGCTTGGGGTTGTATTTCACGAACCTGGTGTGTCTTGCAACTACCTCAGAAGTAAACAATGGTTGAATCATAGGCTAGGGCTGGGTCACATGGCTCCCTCTCCAACCAGGATGTCGATTTAACTGCATCTGAACTACTTGAATGATCACCAAAGAAAGATCAGGGTGCTATTATCCGGAGGAAGAGCATGGATGTCGGCCAGATTGTGCTTCAATGACTCAGAAGTAGACAGCCTCCACGGCCAGCCTCAGAAGAGTTTCTCAGACCACACCCTGCTTGCTTAGAGGTGGAGGTCAATCACATGGTAGTAGCTCATGGTTTTACTCCGAGACAGTGAGTTGAAGAAGTGGGGGCAATTTGACCGGGCCTAGAATCAATAGCCAACATCATACAAATGTATGTATCTCATATCTGTGCTGTTTAATACCATCAACTTAAGAGGATCTAGAGTGACCAAGGACAGCCCCCCTCTTCCTGCATCCTAAAGACCATTGTATTTTCCAAAGGAGGTGTAAGTTAGCAGACTAAAACTTTTTGTCAAAGTGTATGAGATTTTTTCCCCCCCCCTGGAGCGGCCATCAGAAACCTGAGTAGTGATAGCAGCAGGTGATGTTTCTGTGTCTCGTATTAAAGCCACGCCTGGGTGACGCCATCAGCAGAACATGGTCCCTACAGTGACCCTCTCCTGAGAATTGTGGTCCTTGAGGACGGACAGCAGCTAGTGAGAGGAGACAGGTCTCACACTTGAGCCTGCAGCTCTGCCCTGCTGCCACTGTGCTGGCCCCTTCCAAGTTCTCCTTCCCTGCCTGCTTCCCGCTGACCTTTTATGGTCTGGATTCTCTAGAACTGGGAACCCTGAGTGGGAGGCTGCTTGGGGAAGTATTACTGCCACAGCTTTACTCTCTGGCATCTCCATTAAGACTGGTATTACCTTCTAGGACGATCGCCTAATGAAAGGAACCGGAATACAGACCCCCTGTGGTGATATTTTATTTGTGCTGAAATGTGGTGATATTTTATTTGTATGTTAATAAATAAAGTTTGCCTGGAGATCAGAGGGAATAGCAAGCCATTTTAAGGTAAACACAAAAGTCAGGCAGAGGTAGCACACGCCCTTAATCCCATCACTTGGCAGGCAGGGTCTCTGTGTGTTCAAGGTCACACTAGGGAACAGAGCCAAGAGTGGTGACACACGCCTTTAATTCCAGAACCAACCATAGAGTCCTGGAGGTCTGTACAGACAGGCACTAAAAAGGAAGTGAGGTAGTTGGGCTAAGAGCCAATGAGAGGGCAGAACAGCAAGGCAATAAAGGTGCGGGTAGACAGGAAGTAGTTCACTTTTGGTAGCTGCAGAGCTGGAGAGGTAAGGTTGGTGGCTATCACTATTTCCCTGATCGCTAAGGCTTTCACCCCTGTATTTGGCTCTGTGTTCTTTATTTAATAAGACTGCTTAGAAATTCGTTTGCAGACCCCTGAGAAAGGATGGCAATGGAGAAAAAGAAGTTATTTAGAAAAACAATTAGTTTAATTCACTGAATGAATAGTCATGCTTTGGAGTCAATGACTGGAAATTTAACTAGACAAGAGAAAACAATATGATGAACAATAGATTAAAATGACAGAAAGATGGTCTTTTGGGGAGGAAATGGACAAAGCCCCAGCCACTATTTAGTCGTTGTTGATAAAGTCAAAGTCTGCTGACCCATAACCATCACTGTTAGATTTGTTCTCTTATGGTGTGTGAGTGTGGATGAGTGTGCAAAGGTGCAAATATATGTACATGTGAGTGTGCATGAGTGAGTGTTTGCATACATGTATGTGAGCAAGCTTGTGTGCAAGCATGTGCGTATGCATGTGCATATGATCACATATAAGTGTGTTGGTGGATGTGTTAGTGTGTGAATGTATACTTGTGAGAGTGCATGGTGTGTTTGTGAATGTATGTGTGAGTGCCTGTGTGGGAGAGCCTGAGTCTGTGTGTGAGTGTGTGAATATGAGATTGTGTGTGTTTGAGTGTGTATATGAGTATGAGCAAATGATTCAGAGTTTTGTGTACATATATGTTTCAGTATGTGCATGTCTAAATGTGTGATATTATGTGAGTGTGAATGTGGGGGTGTTTGAGTGTATGTATGTGGGTGGGTGTGTTTGTGAATTTAAAATGTGTCCATGTGTGTATGAGCATATTTCTGTGTGAGATTATGTGCTTGAGTGTGAATATGAGGGTATGATAATGTCTGAATGTGCGGTCATGTAATCGTGTGTGTTTTTGTGTGTGTGTGTGTGTGTGTGTGTGTGTGTGTGTGTGTGTGTGTGTGTGTGAATGTGTGTATGTCCATGCCTTCCTGTTCACATGAACATCAGTCCTCTTATCTCTTCCTTCAGACCAGTTCTCTCCTTTATGTCTCTCTCTGTCATTCTCTCTGATACTAGGTAGCAAAACCGACTGCTGAGCCTAAAATGTGCTTTTTATTTGCTC